ATATTATAACAATGAATATTCTTATCCTCAGTCAGAATTATTTGATTTTATCGCAAAAAAATTTGAGTTAAGAGTGATAATGTGCTTATTAAAAAAATTGTAATTAAATATTTTAATCAACATTGTTTTACTTTCTATTAATTATTCTTGTAAATATTTAATAACTATTTAGTCACATGACCAAATAGTTTTTTAATTATGTACCTATTTCTTTAACAATAAACAAAAAAGTTAACATTTATTTATCCGAGATTGAGAATAGTGTAAAAATTCTTCTCGAAACTGTAAATAAAAAATCTGAATATGAAATTGTTTCTCAATTTTTATTTGAAACAATACACTATATTTTTTCTCAAGACTATAAAAAGACAAAGCAAACCATGATTGATTTGTTTCAACCAAATTATGATGATAAGGTTGAATGTGAAATGTTAAAATGATTAAAAAGAAAATATCCTGACAACATTGTTAAAACTAAAAAACACATCATGACTAAACTAAAAGTTATTATATTCACTAGAGCAATTGGTGTTGGAAAAACAACTTTCAGTAATGTTGTAGTTAATTATTTATGTAAAAAAAGTTTTACAGTTTACAAGCCTCTTGAAGCATCTCTTAATTTTGAATCAGTACTCAAACTGTTTTATAAAGATTCGGAAAAATACACTTTATTTTTTCAATATGTCATTCTCAATTATTATAAAAATTAGGTTGAAAAGTTAAATAAACTAACGAGTTTTGATTACATAATTTTTGATAGAACTTATATTGATACTGAAGTATTTACTATAGCAAATATTAATGATATTGACATTTTAACCTATTTGGAAGAACAAAGACAAAAAATTTTCCAGATTAATAATGTTGACAAGATTTTTTATATCAAATCCACAACCAAAATAATGTTTGAATGGCAAGAAAAAAGACGACTTGAAAATCATAATTTTGAGATGGTTGATAAAAATTATTTGTTAAAAATTTATAATTTGTATGAGAAGATAATTGACAAATTATATCCTGAGAAAATTAAAATATCAACTGAATGTGAAATTAATCAATATGTTAATATTTTCAAATCTTATTTTTAATTTTATTTTTTAATTATTTTTTATAATTATTTTTATTTTATTTGTCTATTATTTATATTTAGTTAGTACTATTTTATACCAACTAAAAATGTAATTAGGTATCTTTACAATAAATATTACACGTCAAGATTTAATCTTCTCCAATTCTAATTTACAATATTTTTTCATATACAATACAACAGATTCTTTCACCAAGAAAAAGAAATATATTTTTTCTATAAATGCAGTTCATGAAAATGGAACTAATCTTTTTCTTAATATTGATATTAGTGATACATTTTTTGATATCAAGCTTATTGATTCATATGATTTCAATTATTATCTCAATTGTTTCTTGGATTTTGATTTATCACCAAAATATTATGAAATCTTCGAATCTGTACAACCATTTGATTCAGGTTTAAAGTTCGAATTTATATGATTATACTTTACAAATTATACCAAATGGCAAAAATATTTAAATCACGTCATCTTTAAATTAGAAAAGGATGGTAATTTTATCTATGAAGATGAAGATAAAAAAAATAAAATAGTTAATGATAGTTGGTAGAATATTTTTGATACCTATTCAGACAATCTTTTATATTATTATCATAGAAAATCATGTATCTCTACCATGTCTTTTATTATTATCTTGGGATATTGAGTCCTCAGATACACAAAGACCAGGTTATTTTTTAACAGGATATGAAGAAACATCATATGTTTATATGATATAGATGGATATTTATTAGGTTA